AGGCACTCATCACTCCCATGGCCTTGTCCACTTCCTCAGGGGTGACAAGCTGGAACTCATTCCAGGAAATCTGAGCAAGACCCTCCCTCGGCATCGAGGGAAAATTTGCTCAGACCTTCAAACCTTTTTTCATTCCTGTTTAAAGATCCTGTTACTTAGTATTTGGACACTATTGGACGCTAAGTGTCAGCAGCAAGAAATCAGGTGCCAGGATAGAGTTCAAAAGCACTATATGTTTATTTCATGCTATCTACACTATATTGCCAAAAGTATTTGCTCACAACTGATTTTGATTATGTGGATGGGTGAGCGAATACTTTTGGCACTATAGTGTATATTCAAGATTCTGAACTACTAATGGTTAAAGCAAAATTGGTGCCAGATAAGAGTGAACAGATTTCAAGTGGAGGCTGAATTTACATCCCATACTTACATATGGGTGCTTAGGGATTCCAAATTGATGATGTATTTGACCCCCTCAGCCTAGTCCTCTCCTACACTAAGAATATTAACCGAATTAGAAGTTTATGCTTGAGCATTATCAATATAATGAAATAAAATACTAAGACACCTTTCCTGGGATAGTGCCTACTTGAGTGTGCCTATTGGTAAATCTGGTTATTCCAACTAATTCAGCAACGGAATATTTTGAATGAAGATCAGAATCTGGCAGACACAGATTTTTATATGCCACAAGAACTGCATTATCACAGTTGAGCAGCCATATAAATTAAATAAATAAAATATATCTTTTCAATTTACTTTTACGTTATGAATGCCTCTACCATTTATAGCTATTTGGGAAGGGGGTCTTTTTAATTCATGCTGTTTTTGATCGTTAGCCGCCAAGTATTCATGAATGGGTGGTATAGATCCATACAGGAATAAATAAATAAGCTGCTCCAATGTCATATTATTAAGTTCTTGTTGTTTTTATAGTAACCAATTCAATTTTTCTATCAGTTACTTTTATACATATTTTTTTTATATTTGTTATGGATTGGATATAACCAAATTTAAATCTGGCAATAATGCACTTTTAAAATTTGAAGTTCTGTAAATTAAAAATTGAGCTTTATACAACATAATGATGCTGCATAACATAATAATTTTTTCTTGAGCTAAGATCTGTCAAATATTATGTGCATTTAATTTGCACTAATTTTTTGTTGAATTCTATGTTCCATTTCAGTTGATCCTGTAAATGCAGCTCCCACCACTTCGACACGTGTGTTTTATATCAGTGTAGGAGTTTGCTGTGCGGTCATATTCCTGGTAGCAATAATACTAGCTGTTTTGCATCTTCACAGTATGAAAAGAATAGAATTAGAAGACAGGTAAAAGGGTCTTACATTTTCTTTCAGTTTTCATATGAGAAGATTATAACAGAGGGGATTATTTGTTATGAAAAAATACCCAATATGTTTGGATAGAGCTGACAATTGTTTAATTTTCCTAATATTCTAACATGAAGCACGGAAACTTTAGTTACTTTAAGTAATGATTGCACATTAAAGAAAATATTTTCTGATGCAACCAAATAGCACCTGAACCATGATTTAAAATACATTGTACTTCTGAAATCATTGTATTCATGTAGTCATCTGATACTTATATAGTTATTTTAATGTACTATTAATTTCATGCTAAAATATAAACTATTCAAAGACGTGCAGTGAGCTTCATGGCCGGTAAGGCAAGCGCAAAAGCCCTGCTGAAGCCCTGACACCACGTCCGCCATAGAGCGGGACCGGGACCCACTCTATGGCAGACGCGGTGCTGGGACTTTAAAGCCCTGCCGCCGGGGCTTTAAAGTGGCGGCAGGGCCCCGGCGGCATCCGCCATAGAGTGGGACCGGGTCGGGAGATTAAAGTCCTGCCGCCGGGGCCCTGAAGTGAAGGCCCGCTCATCTCGCCAGCCGGCGCGCACACGCTCTGTGAGGGAGAAGAGGGTGAGCGCTCAGGTCCTCCCTGGGGAGCGGCTGCGGCGGCTCCTGCGGTCCCCTTGCTGAGGAAGTGCTCATTCGGCGGCGGTCATGGCGGCAGCTCTTGGCACCCGTTGGCCGAGCGAGAGGGGCAGGAAGTTTGGGAAGTGTGACCTCTTCCCTAGCATGGCCCTCAAGCTGCACGGGGCAAGGGCAGGGAGGAGGGTAGGTGGGTGACTACCACTCTGGGCTCTCCTCCCCCCTCACTCACTCACACACTCACTCACTCCCTCACACACACACATACTGAGCGCATCCAAAAAACCTCTGGCTGCCCTCAGTCATACCAGTTTCTTGCTTTCGCACTCTATGCAGGCAGGCAGGCAGGCAGCCCCTCCCTCCCTCCCTGCCCCTCGCGGTTCACCTGGTCAAGATCAAGGTCTATCTCCAAGCACCGGTCTATAAAGCAGACATCTTGGTGCCAGCGATTTGTCCAAGGTGGAGGGTTGAAAGGAGAGAGCGAAAGAGAGAGAAGGGAGAAAAACTCAGCCACAGGCAACTCTTGGAGGTTAACTCTGCCTTATCTTGGACCCAAACAAGGACGCCGCCCGTCGCGCCTTATGGGCTTTGAAAGACTCACCCTTTTACGGAGTCCTTGACTTCAACCCCCCGAAAGTTTCTACTACAGGCAGCCACGCCGTCTGAGTGCCTACAGAGGGCCACCCGCAACTTGACACGGGCCTGAGGGCCAAAAAGGCAGCACGCCGTTCCCTCCAGCCAGCGCTCCGCTTACCTTCTGCTCGGGCGGTGGGGAGGACGCTGCGTTTTCAGCCCCAAGAGTCTCTTTCCCCTTCTGCCCCATCCGGGGTGGTAGAATCCCAAACCCAGCCAGCTGAGTCAAAGCCCACCGCAATCACGGCTGTTACTCTGAAGCCTTCAAGAGTGCCGGCTCCTTTGCAAAAAAATAAACCGAGCTGCGGGAGGGAAGGCGGTTCCTCGAGCCTGAAGTTTGCTCGAAGAACTGACTCCTCCCGGACCCGGCTCTCGTGTGGTCTCTTCTGACAAGAGCGGAATAACCCGCCCAACATAAGCGTGCTCAA